TGTGGAATCTGGGCCAGGAAGAGTGAGCCCTGGAGGATCCTTCAGATTAACTTGCAAAGTGACAGGGGAATCCATTGAGAATGTATACTTGGCATGGATCCTCCAGGCTCCAGGAAAAGGATTGGAATGGGTGGGTGACATAGCCTTGGTGGAGGGTAAATGGAGTACAGACTATGCCTCATCCCTCCAAAGTCGAACGACCTTGACAGCCGATGACTCCAAGAATGAATGTTACTTGACAATGAAATCCCTGACAGCTGCAGACTCAGCCACATATTACTGTGCAGGAGAGTCACAGTGAGAGAAAGCAAGGGAGGAAGTGTGTAAAACCTCTCAACGTTTGTGTGAAGAAACTTCATTCACACAAATGGATTGAGATAATTTATTCATTCTTTCAGCTTTGGCTGCAAAATGGAACAAGCTAATATTCCAAGTCAAGAAGAAGTAGGACTAGATTTCAGAGTAGCTACTCATATTCAGAACTGCACATAGCTTGTTATTTGCATCTATTTTCTTTTCTTTCTTTTTTCCTATTTACACAGGTTTCTCAAGAATTAGCTGCAATATCATTGTTGTGGACAGGGATTAAGAGATACAGATGCCTGGTAGTTGGGCTGATTACAAGTCCTAAGAGTCATTTAGCCTTCTCTCTTCCCATTCCTTCTTGGTATACCCAGATGTGTATTGGTTTTCAAAGGATCTCAGTATGGGTGTCATATGGCATGAATGGAAGGAATCAGATCAGTCAGTACAGAATATACAGAATTCTACTTCACTAATAGCAATTTCATCAGGGCTGAACTACACATTACACCATATGAGTATCTGCTAGTTCTAAGGAAACAAGTGGAAATAATATATATTTCACATTATTACCAATTAAATGGATATATTAATGAACTTTTGTGGAGATTGACACCAAAAGAATGAATATATCTATATATTTTATTTTTATTTATTTCTTGAGGTGGAACTATTGAGCCCATTCTATTCAGCCTGGAAACTCTGGAGAACTCCTGCAGATCAGAAACATTATCCCAAGCCCTATTTTTTTACCTTTACAATGAGCCTGATGGTAGCCTTCCATCTGCTTTGCACGAGAGGGCAGCAGTGTCTAACAAATTAACATTCTCCACTTAACCCAATTGAAAGTGTGGTTTCATCTGTTAGCCAGATGGTTTTCTCTTCTGCTTCCGATTTGTCAGTTAATGGGACTCTGGAGACCATCCTTTCCCAAGAGACTTTCTCCTAATTCCTTTTTTTTTTAGCTCTGAGATAAAATTGCTTCACTTTCTTCTTCTTTTTTCATTTGCAGACCAGTGGAAACAACAACAAATACAACATAGTTATCAACTGTCATATTCTGCTGGACAGTCTGTGGAACTAGGTTTTGGGAGATCTGTTTGGAATGGTTCAATTCCTTCCTCGGTGGCTAACTCCTTATAATACTGTTAAGCTTCCAGTGAGTACATATTATACAAATTTTACAGACCATGCCATGACTTCTGATTATCTTCCAAGGGCGATTTAATGTCCTGGTTTCAACCTATACCAACCTTTGGCTTGGCACAGAGAGCAATAAAGAATTCATCTGTCCATTGGAATTGGCTCTATAGTATTGAACACTGGTGTGCTCCATATGGGGGAGGGCAGAGCAAATACAAAAATGTAAGTCATGTTTTTGCTTCTATATTTGTATAAAAAATAAATTTGAAGCCTGAGAGACAGATGAAAAAATTAATAGATGCTGCAGATTACAAAATACAACAATAACCATATTTTGAGAAGTATCTGAAAAATTGCTACAGAAAGAAAAAAAGTGTATTCTTTACTCACTTAAGGGACTCTGGATAACATATGGATTTCAATTTTTCAAATCCACTAAATGTGATGTACATCTCCATCATGCAGAGAACTAGGCAATTAGTTCTCTACCAGCTTTAACATTATCAAAATGCTCAAATAATGCATTATGATGATTTTTCAAGATATGAATTTCCTTCTGAGAAAATCAACCTGTTGCTTTTCATGATTCTTAAGGATTAAAATAAATATATTTAACTTATGTTAGGTCATGAGAAGGAAGGACTCACTGGAGAAGGGCCTGGGAAAGATTGAGGGCAATGGAAAAAGGGGACGACAGAGAATGAGATGGCTGGATGGAGTCACTGAAGCAGTAGATGTGAGCTTAAATGGACTCCAGAAGATGGTAGAGGACAGGAAGACCTGGAGGAACATTATCCATGGGGTCACGATTGGTCAGACACAACTTCACAATTAACAACAAAAGGTCATTTTCAGCATGTCTACAATGTAGGATGAAGGCAATCTAGAAGGTCAAAGCTGCATGTGGTTCTTTTATCCTGAGGTCTATGTAAATTCAGTGACAGCTTCCTGTTCAAAGGAACCATATCATCCTGCTCTCCTGCTGTACTCAAAAACCTAAAGGTTGAGTGCTTGTCTGAATATTTTTTTCCATCAGTAAGAATCCTTCACACTTTTGAGCGAGCAGAAATGACACTCTGGCTAAACATCATGTCCTTGTTAGTTGTCCTCAGAGGTATTATTTTTCCCTCTAAAAAGAGTGGTTATTCCTCAGTTTCTTTTGTTTCCCTGCAGGAAGATTTATTAAACAAACGTTTTTTCTAGGTGTCCAATCTGAGGTACAGTTAGTGGAGTCTGGAGGGGAGGGGAGAAGACCTGGAGAGTCCCTCCATCTCTCCTGCCAAGGCTCTGGATTCACCTTTGGCAACTACTGGATGGTCTGGGTGAGACAGGCTCCAGGGAAAGGTCTGGAATGGGTGGCTTATATATGGTCTTCAGATATTTACTACTCTGACAAAGTGAAGGGACGCTTCACCATCTCCAGGGATGATGCCAAAAGCCAGCTGTATCTGCAAATGAACAGCCTCAAACCAGAGGACACAGCCATCTATTACTGTGCGAGAGACACAATGAGACAGGTTCCAGGGAAAGGTCTGGAGTGGGTTGCACGTATATGATCTTCATATATTTACTACTCTGACACCTGATGGTATGACAGTTCCATGATGGCATGGTGGCTTGTGTTCTTAGTAACGGTGGAGCCTCAGAGGCCTTCCCTGTTACTAATGGCGTTAAGCAGGGCTGCGTGCTGGCCCCAACCCTGTTCAGCATGATGTTCTCAGCCATGCTGTCAGACGCCTTTCAGAACAGCTCAATGGGAGTTAATCTGAGGTACAGAACCGATGGGAAACTGTTCAACCTGTGAAGACTTCAGGCTGTCACCAAGGTAAAGGAGACTGTGCTATGAGATCTCCTCTTTGCTGATGACTGTGCCCTTAATGCAGGATCAGAGCAGGAAATGCAAGCCAGCATGGACAAATTTGCAGCCGCTTGTGACAACTTTGGCCTCTTCATCAACATGAAGAAAACTGAAGTGATGTACCAGCCAGCTCCAAAAGCCCAATATCAAGAGCCTACCATCACAGTAAAGGGACAAAAGCTGCAAGCAGTGGACCAATTTACGTATCTTGGTAGTACCCTCTCCCGTGCAGTGACAATTGACATCGAGGTCAACTGTAGAATTGCCAAGGCAAGTTCTGCATTTGGCAGATTGCGACTAACGTGTGGGACCGCCGTGGAATAAGTCTTGCTACCAAGCTTAAAGTTTACCAGGCAGCAGTGCTAACTACCCTATTGTATGCTAGTGAGACCTGGACAGTGTACAGGAGGCATGTTAGGCAACTGAACTACTTCCACATGACTTGCCTTCATAGAATTCTGAGGATCCGGTGGCAGGATAAGATACCAGACACAGATGTCCTCTCCAGAGCAGGTCTATCATCAGTTTACACTCTGTTGATGAAAGCCCAGATGCGCTGGGCGGGCCATGTTGTAAGGAAGCCAGATCATCGCATCCCTAAATAGCTCTTCTATGGTGAGCTGTCTCAAGGAAAGCGATCACACGGGGGACAAAAGAAGCGATACAAAGACACGTTAAAAGCTTCTCAAGTCCCTGGATATTAATACCATCTCTTGGGAACTTCTGACGCATGATCGACCGACATGGTGCACCTTGGTGTACCAGGGTTGCAAGATATATGAACACAGAAGGACAATCTTGGCACAAGAAAAGCGAGCACTCCGCAAAGCCAGAGCTGCAAATGTTGAATTAACAGTGTTTACACTTCTTTGTTCAGTATGTGGCAGAACATTCCATGCTAACATCAGTCTTATCAGCCACCTACGGACACATCGCTGATGGCCCATAACCCATAACCCACAAGATGTCAAGGTCTTCATCGAAATTGATTGACAAAAAACACTCTGACACCATTCACCATTTCCATGGATGACGCCAAAATCCAGCTGTATCTGCAAATGAACAGCCTCAAACCAGAGGACACGGCCATCTATTACTGTGTGAGAGAGACACACAGTGAGAGGAAGTGAATCTGTTCATTTCACGCAGCAGTTCTGCAATTTTTTTTCTAATAAAAAACAGCTTTATTAATTCAGATTCTCACATTGTTTCTTCATTCTGTACATCAACCTTCATCCATTCAATCTATATGAAAAAGCCACTTTTTGTTCATACAGTGAACACTGCATTTCTATTTCATATTCAGTCCAGGTTGATATTTACTCAGTCCACTTATTCCTGACCCTATCCCTCTCATTTCATGTTTCTTAGCCCTTAATTTATTGATAATATCATAAATTTATCAGTCCACTTATTCCTGACCCTCTCCCTCTCATTTCACCACTCATATTTCTTAGCCCTTAATTTATTGATAATATCATAAATTTATCTAAATCAGGACAAATATTTGGGGATGTAGATATGAAAATCATTGTCAAAGTTCAAATTATAGACAGTGATGGTTTGTTAGATATAGCCTTTCTTTCTTATAAACTGATTTTATCTTCCCCATGAAACTGAGATGCAAATGAGGTCACTGAGCTGTTTCTCCTTTAAATAATCACAAATACACAAAAGAGCATCCCACACCCAAAGGTGTCAGTGCAGTAAAAGAAGGGTTGTTTTCTCACTGCCCCATGGAGCCTGCCATTGTACTTCTTTGCTTAGTAGCAGCTCCTCTGTGTGAGTATCTTCCAGATAGACCTGAACAATGAGAAAATAAAAGCAGAGTTATTTACTAATTATTACTTTCTCATTCGCTTAGATGTCCACTCCACCATCCAACTTGTGGAATCTGGGCCAGGAATAGTGAGCCCTGGAGGATCCTTCAGATTAACTTGCAAAGTGACAGGGGAATCCATTGAGAATGTATACTTGGCATGGATCCGCCAGGCTCCAGGAAAAGGATTGGAATGGGTCGGTGACATAGCCTTGGAGGAGGGTGAATGGAGTACAGACTATGCCTCATCCCTCCAAAGTCGAACGACCTTGACAGCCGATGACTCCAAGAATGAATGTTACTTGACAATGAAATCCCTGACAGCTGCAGACTCAGCCACATATTACTGTGCAGGAGAGTCACAGTGAGAGAAAGCAATGGAGGAAGTGTGTAAAACCTCTCAGCTTTTGTCTGAAGAAACTTTATTCATTCACACAAATGGATTGAGATAATTTATTTATTCTTTCAGGTTTGGCTGCAAAATGGAACAAGCTACTATTCCAAGTCAAGAAGAAGTAGGACTAGATTTCAGAGTAGCTATTCATATTCAGAACTGCACATAGCTTGTTATTTGCATCTATTTTCTTTTCTCTTTCTTTTTTCCTATTTACACAGGTTTCTCAAGAATTAGCTGCAACATCATTGTTGTGGACAGGGATTAAGAGATACAGATCCCTGGTAGTTGGGTTGATTACAAGTCCTAAGAGTCATTTAGCCTTCTCTCTTCCCATTCCTCCTTGGTATACTCAGATGTGTGTTGGTTTTAAAAGGAGCTCAGTACGGGTGTCATATGGTACGAATGGAAGGAATCAGATCAGTCAGTACAGAATATACAGAATTCTACTTCACTAATAGCAATTTCATCAGGGCTGAACTACACATTACACCATACGAGTATCTGCTAGTTCTAAGGAAACAAGTGGAAATAATGTATATTTCACATTATTACCAATTAAATGGATATATTAATGAACCTTTGTGGAGATTGACACCAAAAGAATGAATATATCTATATATTTTATTTTTATTTATTACTTGAGTTGGAGCTATTGAGCCCAATCTATTCAGCCTGGAAACTCTGGAGAACTCCTGCAGATCAGAAACACTATCCCAAGCCCTATTTTCTTACCTTTACAATGAGCCTGATGGTAGCCTTCCGTCTGCTTTGCACGAGAGGGCAGCAGTGTCTAACAAATTAACATTCTCCACTTAACCCAATTGAAAGTGTGGTTTCATCTGTTAGCCAGATGGTTTTCTCTTCTGCTTCCAATTTGTCATTCAATGGGTCTCTGGAGACCATCCTTTCCTTTTTTTTAGCTCTGAGATAAAATTGCTCCACTTTCTTCTTTTTTCATTTGCAGACCAGTGGAAACAACAACAAACACAACATAGTTATCAACTGTCATATTCTGCTGGACAGTCTGCAGAACTAGGTTTTGGGAGGTCTGTTTGGAATGGTTCAATTCCTTCCTCGGTGGCTACCTCCTAATAATATTGTTATGCTTCCAGTGGGCACATATTATACAAATTTTACAGACCATGCCATGACTGCTGATTATCTTCCAAGGGCAATTTAATGTCCTGATTTCAACCTATGCCTACCTTTGGCTTGGCTCAGAGTGAACTGAAGAATTCATCTGTCCATTGGAATTGGCTCTACAATATTGAACACTGGTGTGCCCCATATTGGGGAGGGCAGAGCAAATACAAAAATTGTAAGTCATTTTTTTGCTTCTATATTTGTATAAAAAAATAAATTTGAAGCTGGCAATAGAAAGATGGAAAAATTAATAGATGCTACAGATTACAAAGTTCACCAATAACCAAATTTTGAGAAGTATCTGAAAAATTGCTACAAAAGGTAAGAAAGTGTATTCTTGATAGACGCTCACTTAGAGGACTCTGGATAACATGGATTTCAATTTTGACTGAATATCTTTACTTGCAACTGTGGGAATTAGTTCCACTAAATATGATGTATATCTCCATCATGCAGAGAAGTAGGCAATCAGTTCTCTACCAGCTTTAACATTACCGAAATGCTCAAATAATGTATTACAATGATTTTTGAAGATATGACTTTCCTTCTGAGAAAATGAACCTGTTGCTTTTCATGTTTCTTAAGGATTGAAATAAATATATTTAACTCATGTTAGGTCATGAGAAGGAAGGACTCACTGGAGAAGGGCCTAATGCTGGGAAAGATTCAGGGCAATAGAAAAAGTGGACGACAGAGAATGAGGTGGCTGGATGGAGTCACTGAAGCAGTAGGCATGAGCTTAAATGGACTCCAGAAGATGGTAGAGTACAGGAAGACCTGGAGGAATGTTGTCCACGGGGTTGCGATGGGTCAGACACAACTTCACAATTAACAACAAAAGGTCATTTTCAGCATTTCTACAATGTAGGATGAAGGCATTCTAGAAGGTCAAAGCTGCATGTGGTTCTATTATCCCTAGGATTAGGTAAATTCAGTGACAGCTTCCTGTTCAAAGGAATCATATCATTCTGCTCTCCTTCTGAACTCAAAAACTTAAAGGTTGAGTGCTTGTCTGAATATTTTTTTCCATCAGTAAGAATCCTTCACACTTTTGAGTGAGCAAAAATGGCACTCTGGCTCAACATAATGTTCTTGTTAGTTGTCCATGGAGGTATTATTTTTCTCTCCAGAAAGAGTGGTTATTCCTCAGTTTCTTTTGTTTTCCTGCAGGAAGACTTATTAAACAATCTTTCTTTCTAGGTGCCCAATCTTAGGTTCAGTTGGTGGAAACTGGAGGGGATGTGAGAAGACCTGGAGAGTCCCTCCGTCTCTCCTGCAAAGGATCTGGATTCACCTTCAGCAGCTATGAGATGATCTGGGTGAGACAGGCTCTAGGGAAAGGACTGGAATGGGTGGCATATAAATATTCTTCATTCTTTCACCCAGCAGCTCTGTAAACCTTTCTAACAAAAACAACTTCATTAATTTGGATTCTCCCTTCCTGTCTTCATTCTGCACTTCAAGCTTCATCCATTCAATGTATAGGAATAATACTCTTTTTTAATGCAATTTCAATTTCATACTCAATCCAGGTTGATATTTACTCAGTTTATTCATTCCTGACCCCCACCCACTGATTTCACCACCCATATTTTTTAGCACTTAATTTACTAACATTATCCTCCTTTTATACAAATTAAATCAGGAGTAATATTTGGTGTTGTAGATGTGACAGCCACAGTCAAAGTCCAACTTCTAGGCTAGGACTGATTGCCACCTACTCCAGATTTTTGCATTTTAGATATGATAGTCCTACATTTGTTTTAAATTAAATCAGGACAACTAGTTAGTGTTGCAGATGTTAACATACAAATTTCTACTTGTGAACTGAGTCTGATGGACTTAAGCCATCTTTCTTATAAACTGGTTTCAATTTCCACATGAAACTCAGATGCAAATGAAGTCACTGAGCTGTTTCTCCTTTAAATAAACATAAACACACAAAAGACCATCCCAGACCAAAAAGTGTCAGTGCAGTAAAGGAATCACAGAGCCAAAGGTGTCATTGTTCTAAAGGAAAAGAGTTTTCTTTACTGCACAATGGGTCTTGCCATTCTTCGTCTTCTTTGTTTAATAGCAGCTCCTGTGTGTGAGTATCATCCAGATGGACCTGAACAATGAGATAAAACAAAAAAATAGGGTTGTGTACTAATTCCTGCTTTGTCATTCATTTAGATGTCCACTCCACCATCCTACTTGTAGAATCTGGACCAGGAACAGCGAGCCCTGGAGGATCCTTCAGATTAACTTGCAAAGTGACTGGTGACTCTGTCAAGAAAGTATACTGGGAGTGGGTTCGCCAGGCTCCAGGAAAAGGACTGGAATGGGTGGGCCAGATAGACTGGGCTAGTAATAACTGGAGGATATACTATGCCTCATCCCTCCAAAGCCGAACAACCTTGTCTGCCGATGACTCCCGCAATGAATATTATTTGACAATGAGCTCCCTGACAGCTGCAGACTCAGCCACATATTACTGTGCAAGAGGTCCACAGTGAGATAAAGCAAGGGAGGAAGTGTGAAAAACTTCTGGAACTTTCCCTGATGAAATTTTATGGACTCACATGAATGGATTCAGATAACTTAGTTCATCTTTCAGGCTGTCATTCTCTGCAGAGAGGAACAAGGTACACATTCCAGGTGAACAAAAAAGTAGTACTAGACTTCAGTGTTACTGCTGATATTCAGAACAGCACATAGCATGCTGTTTGTGTCTTCCTTCTTTTCTTGTTCTTTTGTTTCCTTTCTCCTATTTCCACAGGTTTTTTTTTTTTTTTTTCAAGACCTGGCTGCAATATAACCATGACAGAGAAGGATTAAGAGATGCAGTCCTCTGTTATCTCGCCTTTTCTCTTCCCGTTCCTCCCTGGTATGTCCAAATGCGCATTGGTTTTCAAACAAGGGCATGGGTTGGTAGGAATGGAAAGAGTCTGATCAGTCCCTGTATGGAATTTTTCTTCATAGATAGCACTCTCATCAGGGCTGAACTACACATTACAACTGTGACAAGGAGCATCTGATGGTTCTTAAGAAATGTGCTTATATTTTACACACACACGCACACACTCATATATAATTTTTATCAATTAAATGGATAAATTAAATGTTTGCAAAATGAATCTTTATGGAGATTGTTACTAACAATGAATAAATATATTACATTATTTTATTTTTATTTATTTCTTGAGATAGGCTATCAAGCTGATTCCTTTCAGCCTGGAAGTACTGGATATCTCCCGGAGATTGTCCTAAACCCTGTTTTCTTTCACACATAATGAAAGTCTTTTCAGATCTTCTACCTGCTTTGCAAAAGAGGGCAGCAGGGTCTAACAAATTAACATTCTCCACTTTACAAAAAATGAAAATGTGGCTTTAACTGTTAGCTTGGTGGTTTTCCCTGCTGCTTCCGAACTATCACTCAACAGGTTCCTGAAGACCATCCTTCCCCAAGAGACTTTACATAACTCTTTTCTATAAGGTTTGAGAACAATTTGTCTCATCCAAGTGGTAAAGAAATCCAATCCATCTTAGATGTTGGCCAATGAGACACAACTAAGGGAATGGCCAAATAGAAGGCGGTTGAGCCTGCAGCAGGACAGAATCAGACCACTAGCTATGGGCCAACTCATCACAGGACAATTCATCATTTCAATTTAATAATTATATATATATATATATATATATATATATATATATATATATATATATATATATATATATATATATATATAAAAAAAATATGTTCATTCATATTTCATTTTGACCGTCCTTTTGCACCCCTTCTTTAATGAATTTCATTTTAGTGTAACTCTTGTTTCATGGTGAATT